AAAGAAAGAGCCATGGTTTGCTGAGATGGCCTTCCCCTGAAGGAAGGCGAAGGATTACACGCGCATTTGTTAAGCCCACCTTGATTATTTTGTTTCATGCTTTCCCAGCACGCAGTTCCATGTTTTTGAACTGTCCCGACAACTCCCTCGCTTCTCGATGTATTCGCTCTGCAGCCCAGACTCTGCGACCAGACCTCTGAGCTTTGTAAAATTCACTCTGGGGGAGAAAGTGCAGATGGTAAGTCTTCTCTCTTTTTTTTTCTTCTGGGTTGTAGTCAACGCTTTTGTATAGTCGCTCAATTCAGCAAATGTCGTGTTTTATACTTGGGGGAATCATGCAGTTGAAGGGAATCGTGTGCTTGTTAAATTAATCTGGCTTTCCCCATTGACGTTGCCTGTCAGAAGCTGGCTAGGAAAGCCACCAAGGCACTCACGTGATCCATGGAGGTTACAACCCCCGTAAATATCCACGGGGATGCCGCAACGATTGTAATTGTGAGGATTGGTCATAAGTCATTTTTTTCAGTGCTGTTGTAACTGAACCGTGACGAAACAAATGGTTGTAGCATCTCCTGTGGCTGAGACTTCTTGAACGTGAGATAATTGCAGGTGTGTTCCTTGTATGTCTAGGGCAGGGGTAGGCAACCTTGGCTCTTTTATGACTCGTGGACTTCAACTCCCAGAATTCCTGAGCCAGCCATGGCTCAGCGTGGAAACCTCTCCCTGCCCCCTCAGCGTGGCTGGCTCAGGAATTCTGGGAGTTGAAGTCCACGAGTCGTAAAAGAGCCAAGGTTGCCTACCTATGATCTAGGACATAAGCTGCAAATCTGCAGAAACTTATCAGGATGTTTCAACCTGCTTTCCCCCCCCCCCACACACACACTTTTCTTCTCAAAACTCACACGTGGGAATTTATGCTTTCAAGGGCATCACGTGGATAAAACAGAATTTCCTGTTACCCGAGGATGTGGAGATGCAGAACGAGTTGCTGGAGGTCTGCTTTGCCTCCCTGCGCGACACAGGACAGTTGTGCATCCGAATGAATCTCAGTGGAGAGGTACCCTTGTGCTTGTCTCATTTATGTTGCAGTTAGCCTGGGAAATAAGTCCCTCCCTGCTCTCCTTGGGGGAAGCAGAATTCATCCAGGGGAACTGGCCACAACAAGCCCCCCCCAAAGTCTCTTGATTCTAAAGCAGGGGTCTTCAAACTGGGCCCTTTTATGACTTGTGGACTGCAAACTGGGCCCTTTTATGACTTGTGGACTGCAGCTCCCAGAATTCCTGAGCCAGCATAGCTGGCTCAGGAATTCTGGGAGCTGCAGTCCACAAGTCATAAAAGGGCCCAGTTTGAAGACCCCTGTTCTAAAGGCAGCTTACACGAAACCTGTCCTTAGCTAGCCTTCTATCTATGTTTCTTCAGAAACAGAGTATGGTTCCCTTAGAATAGGGCTGTCCAACCTTAGCAACTTTGGACTTACGGACTGGCTGGGGAATTCTGGGAGCTGAAGTCCACAAGTCCAAGGTTGGACACACCTGTCTTAGAGTAAGGAAGTGGTTCTCCATCACACTCAATGGCGTGGTTATTAGTCTGTTTCTCATCAGCTTTGTAGATCCAGGGCGGCTGTTGTAAGCTACTCCATGTTAGTTCCCTCATAAAATATTCGCACTCAAGGTTAGCACTTGGGCTATCCTAATTTAGCTTCAGGGGTGATAAGGCTCTTCAAGCATCCACTTCTGCCATTGTAATGAGCGTGTCTAGGGCAAATTTGAGTTATTTTTCTTCTTCTGGTTATTAGATCTCCATTCACACCGATAACATTGACCTGGCTGGTGACCTCATCCAATCGATGGCCTCCTTTTGGGCAATTGAGGACTTGCAGGTTGAAGCAGATTTTCCAGTGTATTTTGAGGAGGTGCACAACGCTTTTGTTGGGGTAAGTGAGCGAGGCGTCTTAAACATACCTGGGGTACCAATAGAAGAGAATATCTGTAGTCCAGTGTTGAACCGTGGGGTCCTTGGTGTTCCCTGACCTTAGTTGTTTTCTTACAGACATTTCATGACCCAACTAGGTAACACTATCAGTGTTGGAAGGGAATGGGGTTTTTGAAGTGGTGGTGGTGGACTGTAGGGTCCTTGGTGCTCTCTGAGCTTGGTTGTTTCCTTACAGATGTTTCGTGGTCCAACTAGGTAACGTCATCAGTGCCAGAAGGGAGTGGAGTTTGCAGAGGAGGAGAAGGGAAGGAGGACAACTGTGGGGTCCTTAGTACTCTGTGCACTTGATTGCTTGCAGATGTTTTTATATACTATACAGTCAGCAAACCCCACGTTCACTCACGCTGATGATGTTGCCCATTTGGGTAGTGGAATGTCTTGCATGCAGTCAAAGAGCCCAGAAAGCACCAAGAACTCCGTAGCTGAGGTGCCTCATGGTGATGGATTGGCATTGCTGAAATAAATTGGAATGGGCAGGAGCTAAGGAAGCCCATGGATTTGGTGGGCCACAAGCAAGAGATGTTCTCAAGGGCTTTGAAATAGCGAACACCACTAACTGCTCTCTTTAGAACTGTCCTAAAGCAGCACCAGACTCTTCATTATTTATCTTCCAGCAGACCAGACCATTTTGTCTTGGAAGAGATTACTTCTTTCATGGCGGCCCGGGCCGCCTCGTTGTCGTTCTTTTTTCTTCTGCTGCTGATGGAATTTATGCTCCATTTCAGACAAAACTTGCAACGGGAGAATTGAATTGTCAACAACTTCGCTTTTAGGCTGGAGATTCATTCCGCAAAATTACTTGCTTTGTCTGAATCTGAATTAGCCATCTGTGAGGTTGGGAATGCTAATGATTTTGCAAGCAGATAGATGTCTGTGGGGGCAGGTGGAGTCCCAGAAGTATCAGACCAGGAGGTGCTTTGAATGCCTGCCTGAAGGAAGTGGCTCCATAACTTTAAGACTTCAGGGATCATGGGCAGGGGAGGGACTCTCATTTCCCAGGAAGCTAAACGTCTTAAGTCTCCGGCCTGCCAAGCACATACTACGGGCCTCTTAAATTGTGGACGGTTCTCCTCCACAGGTGGACAGTTCCCACACAGTTTGCCAGAAGCTCACAGCCAACATGGCTGAGAGCTCCAACTGCATCCGCAGCATGCTGGTTCGAGCAGAAGATTCCCGCCTCATGGGAGACTGGTGAGTAAATAACCCCGATTGACGTCCGCAAGTCTTAAAAGTTGCCAAGGTGGAAGGCCCCGGCTCTAATGGATCAACCGGGATTCATTGCATCTCCAATCCCATCAAATAAATAGCTTTCAGCGTCGTTTGCTTATACTGTTTTTGTTAACCCTTGCAGGAGAAACATGAAGAAACGGTATATGGACCTGTATGACCTCAACAAGGATTTATTGTCTCAGTACAAGATTCGCTGCAGCAATCACTCGGAGCTTTTAAATAATCTCAAAGCAGTCAATCAAGCCATCCAACGAGCGGGACACCTCCGAGGTAGTTTTCCGGAGGAGGGACCTGGAGAATGATTTCTCATTTTACACATCATGTCACTTTGGGGCTTGAAAAGAAAAGCAGGTGCCTAAATGAATTGTAACAGTGGTGGCGAACCTACGGCACGCGTGCCAGAGGCGGCACTCAGAACCCTCTCTGTGAGCATGCACGCCGTTGCCGTTGCCCCAGCAGAGTTCGCCAGAGTAGCGAGCACGTGGTGTTTGGAAGCGACAGGGCAGGAAGTGAATGAGCTAGCGGTGTTGGTCCCCCGGGGATGCCCAGGAGATGGCAAGGGACTGGCCCCGGCCACGCTCACCCAGTCTGCTGTGACCACTGCAGCCACACCCACCCAGTGGACCACCCCCCCTGCCTCCCCTGGAGGGCACCACAATGCTGATGCAGCCCTGGCACTTTGCGATAAATAAGTGGGTTTTGGGTTGCAGTTTGGGCACTCGGTCTCTAAAAGGTTTGCCATTGTTGAATTATAACTTGGAAAGACACGGCTCGAGGCTTCCTTTTGTATAATTCCAGCCTCAGATCCCCAATCTGTTTTTCCCTCGCAGTTCCCAGAGAGCCCCCCCGAGTCTCCTCTTAGACCGCTTGGCTAAGAGATGCCGGCACATGACTGCTAGCTAGCATGTCATGCCTGCAGACTTAAAATGGGCCACGGAGGCCCCTCAACCTTTTGAGTAAATTCAAAATACGTAAACAGTGAGCAGCAAGAATAGTTGTGTCCTGCACAGGCTGTCCCCTCTTGAGCCCTCAGCTGATTTGAGAGTGGGCTGGGAGGGGGGAAGGAAGAGAACACTTTCCCCTTCTGAACTGTAAAGAAGCTGCTTCATTTGCATTCTTGGAAAAGAACAGACTCCGGCTAACTCTTTTTGTTTTTCTTTCTTTTTTTTCTTTCTCCAGTTGGTAAACACAAAATGCAAGTGATTGCGGCCTGCCGGGATGCTATTAAGAACAACAGTGTTAATATGCTGATCAAAATCATGCGTCTGGGGACAACTTGCTCTTGATCAGAGTGAAGGCTGGAGGCGAAAACTAGCCTAGGTTGGCAGTCCAGAGAGACAAGCAGAAAGATCTAGCAGCAGATAGACAGTAGGTGATGCTGCCAGTTTAGTGCCCGGTAAAGTGCAGTACGAAGACCTTACTAGGGCTGATCGTTCGACCGCTTGTGGCAGGGAAGAGAAGGCCAGTATCTTGGTTCTTTCTAAAATATCATGCTTGCGGAGAGATGGCCAAGCTTTTGTGGACATTACAGACCAAATCTGGGAATTTTCAGAAGCCAAAACCGCCCTGGAGGCTGTTTTATTTAAAATAGCAGTTTTTGATTCTTCAATAAAACTTGACAGACCTCAGTCTATCTGTATGGCTTAGTCCGTTTAGATCAGAGGTGTCCAATCGTGGCATCTTTAAAACTCTGGACTTCCAATTCCCAGAATTCCCCGGCCAGCCACGATTGGAGTTGAAGTCCACGAGTCTTAAAAGTTGCCAAGGTTGGTGGACAATGTGGAGAAACATTAGTCTGGCTTTGTATGAAGCAAGAAAAGGAAAGCTTAAAAAGTAACGGCAAGCCTTTTTTTATTATTATAAATTAGTGTGAGGTCTTGATTGAGAATAAAAGTTTAAAAAGGGTCACGGCCTTTTTAAAATTTAACCGTTTCTGGTTCGGAATTTTGTCTTGGATTTTTAAGCTGGTTGCAACTATTGTAACTTGAATTAGGATTCTCTCTTTGGTGCAGCTGCCAGTAAGCCATCTAGGTTTACCCATTTCAAAGGCGGCTTGATTTACGGTTTAACAAGCTCCGTGAACCCAACCAGTAGAGACTTACTCATCAAGCCATAATAGCCTTCCATGGTTATTAACTCAACCTACAAAATACCACATAATTAGATCAATAGGAAACACCCTTTTTTTCCATCTGTCAGAAGTGGTGAGTTTTGGAAAACATAGCAAATACTGTCTTCGTCCATGCTACCTTGTTTTCTGAGGCTGTTTAGGCTGAACCATAACCAAGGTCCTGCTTCAGCCCAAATAAAGTGGTATTTACATTGCTAATGTGGAAGCTTTGTGGCCCCCTCCAACAGCAGCTCAGACCACGTAATTTCCAAAAGGGCCCCCAGAAAAGGAGTGTTAGGTTTTGCAGGAACATCAGAGTAAAGCAGATTGTACAACAGAATCTTCCTTTGTAAGAAAAACGGTCCTTTTGAGTATTTAGGAGAAACGGTTTGCCGTCACTTGCTGGCACCATCTCTCATTCGTAGTAAACAAAGGAGAAGTCCCAGAATTCTCTTTCATCCGGCGTCTGCTCCAGACTACGGTGGTTAACGTACTTCACAAATTTCTGTGTCTCTCGATCTCTGTAAACTAAAGCCAGGCAATTGGCCTCTGGATTAACCGTCAGCAGCTGGAAAAGAGAATAAAACCAGAACAGTTAAGAAAACAACCTGCATTTACTTCTAAGGACCGTACAGGAAAAACTTTACTTTCATGAATGCATCTGTCCAAATTATGGGTTTCATTAAAATCCTGCTTCCTCTTTTAGAAACATGCAGGCTGCATGCACAGAATGATAGAATACAAGTAGCCATAATTTCCCATAAAATAAACATTAAGGTAGCTTCAGTGCAGCACAGAAAACAGGATTGTCAATGGCTACTCATTATGAGATGCTACATTCATTAGGCTTATGTTCAAATTCATAGAAGCCTCTAAGTGGCTACTGTGGGAACAGAATGTTCCTCTATTCAGCCAGATCCAGCCCTTTTGAAACCGCACAAAAAAGGCAAATTCTTTGCCTGAAACAATTAGGGAAATTGAAACTAGAACTTGGCACTAACACAATAGCATTAGCAATACTCTGTGACGGAGTTTTCTGTTCACTTTTGTCAATGCGCCTTAAAAAAAGATACCATGGAGTTTAAAAAAAAAAAAAAGGGGGGGGAGGATACCAAAGTGATTACTGGATTGAATCTGATCCCCCTACAGGGTGAAACAAACAACTGGGGTATATGATGGTGGAATAAAGTAAGGCAAGGGAAGAAATAATATAAGAACATGCAGACTGGTCGTTCTCAACTTGCAACGAATCGTTCAGTGACCGAAGTTACACTGGCATTCAAAAAAGCGACATCGCCAGTCCGCACAATTACACAATTGCTGTTGCAGTATTCCTAGTCACATGATAAAAATGTGTGCACTTGGCAACCCGCGTGCACTTCCAAAGGTTGCAGCAACCTAAAGTCCTGTGATCGCCATTTACCAGTTTGACTTTCCCAGCAGGCTTCCAACGGAGTCAACGGGAAGCGGATTCACTTAACGAAGTGAGTCAATCCTTTAACTTCAGCGGATTCACTTAACAAGCGTGATAAAAAGGTGAGATTGGGCACCGCTCACTTAACAATGCCTTGTTTAGCGACAGAAATCCTGGTCCCACTTGGAGTTGTATGTTGGGGACCACCTCTAGAATACTTAGATCGCTTCGCCCCGTGCTCCCAATTTTGCATAATTTTCCTGATTCAACACAATGCTGGGCACTGAGATTCCTTTTAATACTTCACTGTTCCTTGCATGATAATGAGGCTAAGGTCACCAGGAAACCCTGCTTTTCAAGTGGCATGCAGTGTTTTGTCGCATGCAGGTAAAGCAGTGCCCTGGAATTTTAAGAAGGAGCCGTGAGCTACTTCCCAGGGCTTAGACATCTGGGAAGGGAGGGATAGGAAGAACTTCTGGTAAGTTTGAAAACAACCTGTGGTCTCTGAGCAAGTTCACCTGTGCCCCTGAAAATGGGGGAAAAAATATTTTTACCTCTTCGTCTTCGCCTTTTGCAATGTATGAAGTGAAGCCTCCCGATTCGACGTTCCAGTCTTAAAAAAGGAATGAACATCACGTTTAAATTTTAAAGCGAGCAGCCACAAACAGACCCACTTACTCAAACACAACAGTGACGTTTATTTTTTATTGATTTATGTGCCGCCCATCTCGGCTAGAGGAGACTCTGGGTGGCTGAGTAACATTGGTACTAAGATTTTAAAATTTGTTTTTAAGAGGATGATTGGCCAACTCAATGCAAAAAAATTTAGTGATGGCTTTGGATGGTGAAGACAGGTATACAACGTCTGCAAGGGAAAAAATATAGGCAGCTTCCAGGGCGATATTATATTTAAACATTTAGGCATAAAGGATTTTTTCCCTTCCGTGGATAACTCAGAATTATCTTCTTGCATTAATGGATAAAACAAGCGGCTGAAAAACGAAACTAGCCAGTGTTGGGTGCCTTTGAAGACTGGAAACTGATCAAGGAGAGAAGCAACCTAGAATTAAGGAGAAACTTCCTGACAGTGAGGACAATCAAACAGTGGAACAGAGGTTGCCTCCAGAAATAGTGGGTGCTCCATCACTGGAGGTTTTTAAGAAGAGGCTAGACAGCTTAAACTGAAACCAACCTTCACACCCACAGAACAGCAGCAGATCCAAGGCAAACTCTGCTCTTTGGGCATCGTGGATCAGAGTGTAGCATCCTTCCCTCCAGCGTCTCAATTCTCCGGTGCAAAGAGGGACACCTAAGGGAGAAAAGACCAGATGTTCTCGGCTTTCACGATGGCTACGTACCATTTTAAAGAATTGGGGGAGGGAGGGAGGGGAGAAAAAGACCCTGCCCTTAGATTTCCCCAGAGCAAGTTCTCTCTTAGGGGGAATCTGGAACCCCCACAGAGTGCGTCCCCGGGTGGCGGATTGGGGGCCCCTACCCATTATGGCTTTTATACTGTAATGGGTTGGAGGGAATCAAATACCTCCCGTGGACCAACAGGGCTGATGAGTGGCAGCTGGCTCCCCAGTATCAACTGAAGGCGGAGACCATATTGGTTGGAACGGATTCAGAAGAACAGCACACGGTGTGGTGGCAACCACTTGAACAGCGTGCACACAGCGGTGTAGAAAGCAAAGGGAAGAAGACTACTACACTATATATTTCTCAGGAAAATCATGTTAATGGCAGCAAAACCTAACAATGGCCCCGAGTACGGGCGCCCCTTAAATGGGGCAGGGGTGGTAAGAATCTCCCGGTCCACTAAAAGCATGATAAACCCAAAACTACGCGGAATCTGAGAAGCCTATATGAAGCTGGGGAAAAAACTCAGCAGCACTTTTTTGTGCGGCTGCTGATAAAAACAGGATCGCTAACGTCCGATAATGGATATGGCACAAGAAGAAGAAGAGTTAAGTTCTAATCCTCTGAAATTTCACTTAATGGTGATGGGCTCAGCAATCTCCTTCCAAGCTGATACGGTTTTTCAATATGGACAGGAAGAAGGTCACCATTAGACAAGAATCTCCTTAACGGTGCCTCTCGGCTGTTAAGACACCCCACCCCAAAAGAAAAGGCTATGGAGAAGTAGGAAGAGTTGGTGCCCCAAGATCTGTTGATGTTTACTCCTGAACGAGGGAGGGATGAAAAGCTTTGGATTGTGTCCACCTCAACTTGTGTTGGAGGGACGGAACCGAAAGAAACACAATTTGTATACAGGAAGCCAGATCAACAAACAGACACAGTGACGGGAGAACAAGAGACCCGGGTCTCTCTGTCTGATGGTCAACAGTGCTGATGTTGTGTCCTGGCAGGGCAAGTGGGTAACTAAGGAGGGTGGAATTCCTCAACATCCTGAAAATGGGCCCGTTTAGACATGCCCCATCGCTCTCATTCAGCACCGTTCTGGATGGAATTAAATGGGACTTTTGGGTGTTTTTTTGGACTTGGCAGATTTCCTTTTCAAGTTTCATTCATGCAGGCGTGAAAGCAAAAAACAACAACACGTGCATGGAAAAAAAATGAAACTGCTCAATACATCCTTCTGTGCTCCCAAGGAATTTATGGCAAATGCACAGCAGTAATCATTTGGGGGAAAAAAAATCTCTTATTTAGTTCAAAATAAAAGAGCTTATTTTAACGTTCTGCCCAATTTCTACTGGTCAAGTTCTACAAACTTGGCCGCGATCGAGAGTTTAGGAGGTCAAACAGTAATAAAGCCGATCTTGTGAGTTCTCAAAACACCCACGTTAAAGGGGAGCCGAAGAGTTGTAATGGATATGGACCTCTGAACATTTTGGGCACACTGTAATTTGGGCTTGCGCTGACAGATAGACTGCAACTAGATCCGGACGCTCAATATACCATTTTCTTGGTTGTCCTCATTTTCGGAGACGCTCCCGGGTGCCTCTGTACAGTCTGTATTGCCAGCTTCCTCTTGACTGCTGGGTCCTTGTGAGCTTTCAGAAGACTCTCCTCCTCCTCCTCCTCCTTCCTCTTCCTCGTCTGGCGCTAGAAAATGTAGCTTCAGGCCCGTGAAATTGGAAAGCAGCAGAAACAAGGCCTCGGAGCGGAAGAGTTCAAAGCACCCCTTTAAAATGGCCGGCAAGCTCTTCTCCTCGGCTTTCTCGTAATGCCTAAAAAGACAGTAAGCTTCATGAGCGAGGACTTTTTCCCGCACCTCCTTTCTTCACAACACGTGGCTGAAAGGCTCTGCTAGCACAGCACAACCGATACAGGTGGTCCTCGGCTTACGAACACAACTGGGCGCAAAATTTCTGTTGCTAAGCAAGTGAGTTTTGCACCATTTTTTACCACCTTTTCTTGTTAACAGCTGGTAAGCGGATCACACCGCCGTTGTTAGTCACCGGGTCGTTAAGTGTTAACTGGCTTCCCCATCGACTCTGCTCGTCAAAAGGGGATCACGTGTCCCCCTGGGGCTCTGGAATACCTGCCACTTGCCAAGCATCCCAACTCTGATCATGTGACCACGGGGATGCTACAGTGGTTGTGCGAAAACCAGCAATGAGTCAGGTTTTCCCGGTGCCACTGTAACTTCGGTCACCAAATGGCTGTCTGGTTCTAAGCCGCGGATTGTATACACAGGAAAGAGGGAAACACGCAGACGGTGGCGGATGTGTAAAACCGCACACTGCATTTTGATTCCATTCTGGTTTCTTTCCACAGCAGATTTCTGAAATAGACTAGCGTCAGCGTCGTAACTGGAATACAAGACAAGCAAGGACGGTCCTTCAGAACGGCTCGCTCTGGCAAACCGGGTTTTGCGTGGGATCTAAAAGAGGAGTGGGTTGTGAAAAACCACACCCGTATTTGGTGTTTTGTCTCCGAGAGGCCAGCCTTTCGTTTGAAAGGCTGGGAAAAATAAAATCCTCTCGCCAGCCACACAAAAGGTCTGTAAACAAGCCCAGGATGTCAGACTCTTCGGAAGTTCTGTTCTTTGGAATTTCATCTCCTCCTTTCCCTACTAGCGTGTAAGACGACAAAGCCGGATTAGCTGAAATTCTCAAGAGGATCCAGTTTTGCACGAGAGACTCACGTTACGCTCACAGGCGTCTTTGAGGAAGAGCCAAACCCAGCTGGCAGAGCTCCGTGGCTGGAAAGGAACACGACTGCTCAGGTGGGAGGAGTAAGGCGGCCTGGAGCAGCTTTACCTGTTGTTGGGAGGACCTCTAGTGCTCCAGCCGAGTCCTTCCGTCCTCAGAGCTTTGCAAACCCGCTGATACTGGTCTCTCTAGGAACCAAGCAGAAGGAAAGCACATCTGAAGCAAGCCCCTGGAAGCAGGGAGTTTGCCAAAGCCGTTTATGGGGAAGCCTGATGGAAATTAATCCCTTGGTCCCATTTAAGCTAAGTGGCTTTTGCCCTCTTTTACATCCTCTCTTGCTGCACTTGCTAAGCGAATCACTGCAGTTATTAAGTTAGTAACACGGTTGTTAAAGGAATCTGACTCCACTGACCCTGCTTGTCATAAGGTTGCGAAGGTGGATCACGTGACCCCGGGACACGGCAACCGTCATAAGTACGAACCCATTGCCAAACACCTGAATTTTGATCACGGGATCATGAGGATGGTGCAATGGTCGTAAGTGTGAAAAATGGTCATAAGCAGTGGTGGGATTCAAATAGGTGAACCACCGGTTCTCTGCGTGGATGCCGCTTCCGGAAGTCCGTTCTGGGCCTGGGCAACAAAAAATTAGCTACCGGTTCTGCCGAAGTGGTGCGAATTGGCTGAATCCCACCACTGGTCGTAAGTCACTTTTTTCAGTGCCGTTGTGACTTTGAACGGTCACTAAATGAACTATCGTAAGTCAAGGACTATCTATGCTCATCACCTCTCAACCTGCTACATAAAGCTGAAAGAAATATGAGAATAGGGATCGCACCTGTTGCCTTATCCTCTTATACCCAAGAATGGACTCACCTTGAGAAAGTCTTTCAGCAAGATCTCTGATCGATCTTCAAATTCTTCCTGGATCTGTGCTTGGGAATCCATGTCCAAATAAACGGGATTGATCCAATCATACAAGATCTCATGCTGGAAAAATGGGGAGGAACGGAAGACAAGGCCGAAATTTACATTATGGCACTGAAAATCAACTTGTAACTTTACCTCTGTTGCTATTATTTCCAGAAATGTTGGTAGGTGCTTGTCACACATAATCCAGGACAGTGTTTCTCAACCTGGTCAACTTTTAAGACGCGTGGACTTCAACTCCCAGAATTCCCCAGCCAGTCCAAGCCTCTCAAAGTTGACCAGGGTTGAGAAATTCCAGCCCAGCATGTATACTTATATTGCTTTCCACTCAGTAGTCAGCACATCATCCCCACACTTCAAGGTGTAACGCTTCAAGGTGTTAGTAACAACTTTTAAAGCGCTCCATGGCAATGGACCTAGGTATTTGCAAGACCGCCTCCTACCAAACACCTCCCTTCGGCCAGTCCGCTCCCACAGAGAGGGCCTCCTTAGGGTGCCGTCGGCCAGACAATGCCGGCTGGCGACCCCCAGGGGGAGAGCCTTCTCTGTGGCAGCTCCTGCCCTCTGGAATGACCTGCCCCCCCCCCGACCTACGTACAGTTGCGGACCTGCGCCTTTTTCGCCGAGCCCTGAAGGCCCATCTATTCCGTGCCTGGCGTAGCTTGATTATGTTTCAGTGGGGGGTTTTTTACGGGTGTGTTTTTAGAACAGGCCCGTTATTTAATTCGATTTTAAAACAAACTATTTATTACCGTGGTTTTTAGTATCACCTGTTCACCGCCCTGAGTCCCGCAAGGGAGATAGGGCGGTATATAAATTTAATAAATAAATAAATAAATACACCCACACTGAAGTGTACACCACAGGCGCAGCACAAAATCAGCAAAGGGCAGCTTCTATTGGGGAGAAACAACAGACGTTACGCCAGGGCAGGGTTAGGCAACCTTGGCTCTTTTATGACTTGTGGACTTCAACTCCCAGAATTCCTGAGCCAGAGCCAAGGTTGCCTACCCCTGGGCCAAGGGTTCCCAATCAGGGGTGCTTACACTCCCTGGGGGTGGGAGACAATATTCTAGGGGGTGCGAAAACTCGGGTTTTCAAAATTATAGTGTATATGCATAATTCGTTGCCGTTATTTCGAACTTTTGCAAGGGGTGTGAGAATATATCAGAAGTGTTCTAGGGGCGCGGGGTATAGAAAAAGTTGGGAACCCACTGCGTTAGGCTAAAGATGAAACGTGAAAGCAAAAAGCAGAAACGGCCTTTCCAGAGAAAATGTGAAGGTTTCTCTTCGGTAGCCCAGACCAAGGATCAAAAGTATTGTAGAACAATGCCACAATACTGCAGGGAGCAAGCAGCTTACATCACGAGGGACGTGGGGGCTTCGTGGAATCGGTGGCTCCACAGGACGTGGTGGTCTCGGAAGCGAGGGGCCGTGAAACCAGCCACTCACCGACAAGCGGCATTTCTCTTTGGAAATGACTTCAGACACCTGGGACAGAAGAAAACGACAAAAGAACATATAAACACTGAATTTTCAGACGAAGATGCTGCCAGGAAATTTCTCCTTAGTTCTAGGTTGCTTCTCTCTTTGGTTAGTTTCCATCCGTTGCTTCTTGTCCTGCCTTCAGGCGCTTTGGAGAACAGCTTGACTCCCTCTTCTTTGGGGCAGCCCCTGAGATACTGGAAGACTGCTATCATGTCCCCCCTCGTCCTTCTCTTCATTGAACTAGACATACCCAATTCCAGCAATGGTTCTTCGTATGTTTTAGCCTCCAGCCCCCTGATCATCTTTGTTGCTCTTCTCTGCACTCTTTCTAGAGTCTCAACATAGGAGAAGTAATAATTGCTTACCTGGTGGAAGGAGACTGGGGACACTTCAAAGAAAGCGAGTGAATTCCAGGAAGGAACCAAAGACTTGACAATCTGCAAAGGCTGGAAATGATCTGCCAGAGACAAGGACACATACAAGGCACATACCAGTAAGCATGACAATCTGGAATTCTCCCACTGTCTTACATTTCACAACCTTCTGGCTCTGTCTGGCTTCTGAATAAAGAGAGGAAAAGGGAACCTTGGAGACAGAAGAATCAAGTTTACAAAGAAGACTCAGCTTACAAACTAGGAGGATCCAAGTCTCAGCCTGACTCTAATACCAGAAGTATCATACTGTATACCACAGTGTACATAGCAGCCCACTGTGATAGTAAGAGAGCACATTTCTAAAGAGGGGGAGCTTGCAGCATGGAAAAACAGAAAACAAAAAACCCCACTAATGCATAAAGAGGATTTCTGTGGTTATGAACATTTGAAATTGCACGCTGGATTGGCAAGTGCAGCAGCACCGTGGCTGAACCTGACTCACCCACTATTCAGTTAGGCCTCTCTCACCTTTGGCACTAAAAAGCCTTAAATGTGAAAATGTCAAGAGATTCAGATGTAGTAGTTTCTGAATGCAGTCGTTAAGTTTCATTCCCAACTAATGCTTCCTCCCTCATCCAGATAACGGAAATAAGCTTTGGCCAAAACCGAAGTTGGAATATAGCAGGGGTGGGCAACCTTGGCTCTTTCATGACGCGTGGACTTCAACTCCCAGAATTCCTGAGCCAGCATGGCTCAGCTTGAAAACCTCTCCCTTTCCCCTCAGCATGGCTGGCTCAGGAATTCTGGGAGTTGAAGTCCACGAGCCATAAAAGAGCCAAGGTTGCCTACCCCTGGAATATAGGAACAGTCAATGCAAGAGACCACCATGCATGCAGCTTGATAGCAGTCAGCACTCAAAACGTCCGAGTCATGTTATGTGAGGTGTCCATCCAAGAGAGACGGAGGTGGGGAGGAATGGAAGGATGGAACAAGTGAATAGCTGCCCTGAGCTCCTGAAGGACAGGTGTGATATAATAATAATGATAAAGTTGGAAGGGACCTCGGAGGTCATCAAGTCCAACCTCCTGCTCAGGCAGGAAACCCTATACCATTTCGGACAAATGGCTGTCCAGTTTCTTCTTAAAAACTTCCAGTGTTGGTGCATTCACCGCTTCTGGAGGCAGGTTGTTCCCCTGGTTAATTGTTCTCACTGTCAGGAAGTTTCTCCTTAGTTCTAGGTTGCTTCTCTCTTTGGTTAGTTTCCACCCGTTGCTTCTTGTCCTGCCTTCAGGCGCTTTGGAGAAGAGCTTGACTCCCTCTTCTTTGTGGCAGCCCCTGAAATACTGGAACACTGCTATCATGTCCCCCCTCGTCCTTCTCTTCGTTAAACTAGACATACCCAATTCCAGCAACCGTTCCTTATATGTTTTAGTAAATCCTACCATCTGTAGAGAAGAGATCCAAAGTGCCCCCGTCGTGCTTATCCCAGGGGGGTACAAGGTAAAGGATGAATGCGATTCGCCGCCCCTCCAGCTCATCGTCATGACACAGCAGGGTATCTGGAGCAATGCAGGAATTTGGTTATGTTAGGCAATGTGGCTAAAATGAGGCGGGGTGTGTGTGTGTCAAGTTGCCAGTGCTGATTCTTCACACCCAAGTCCCAATCTATTGCCTGCATTCCAATTCAACAGCCTCTTTCCCAAGTTTCATAGAATCAGAAGTTTTGTACTCCAACCCTCAACCCAAGGTAGGAGTCCTTATTGCATCCCAGACAATTTGAAACTCTCCAGCAAAATGGAGCACTCACAGCTCCGGGAGGCAAGTTATTCAACTGACTAGTTATTCTCACTGTCGGGAAAATCCTCCTTATTTCAAGGTTGAGTCTCCCTCTGACGAGCTTCTCCCCACTGCTTCTTGTTCTGCCCACAGGTGCTTTGGAGAATAAGCTGAACCCCTCTTCTCTGCAATAGCCCCTCAAGTACCGGAAGACAGCTATCATGATCACCCCTAATCCTTCTCTCCATTAGACCAGGTCCCTTAACCGTTCGTTGTACAATTTACCTCCCAGATCCCTTATAATCTTTGTTGTTCTTCTCTGCACTCTTTCTAGAGTCTCAGCAATTGTTGTTTTATGTTGTGGTGATCAGAATTAAATGCAGTAACTCCATCTGCCCAGTGCTCAAGTCTGTCAAGATCCTTCTGAATCTTCAGCCTGTCTTCCAAAGTGTTAGAAATTTCCCCCAGCTTGGTACTATATGGGGTTCTCCTTCTGTCTCCTCATCTAGATTATTTATGAAGATGTTGAAGAGTACTGGGCCTCAAACAGAATCTTGGGGGACCCCACTGCGTGCTTCCCACCATGTAGTTGCAATTCCACTGAGTGCCATTGGTCAGTCAACTACAACTCCATCTGGGGGTGATGCTGTCTCTCCCCCATTGTTCCATCTTACCAAGCAGTAGGCTGTGGTCTACTTTGTCAAATGCCTTATTGAAGTGTAACTAAACTATGTCCACAGCGTTTCTCTGATCCACCAACTTAGTCACTTTGTCAAAGAAGGCAGTAAGGTTTGTCCGACGTGATTTGTTTTTAATGAACCCACGCTGGCTTCTAGCAATCGTCATTCATTTCTAGGTGCTCCCAAACCTGCCGAGCGATGATCTTTTCTGGATTTCTTAAGAGTTTTCAGGATCACAGTGTTTCTTCTACCAACACAATCAATTCCTAGCTTCAGAGTTCTTTTTCATTTTCGGCTTACCTGTATATTCATATTTAGCGCAGGACAGATCAATGGTTGGTTCCAGCTCTACCTGGATCACGTCAGAAAGCCAAGACCGGAATTCTTCAAAAAGAACTTTTCTAACAGATGAGAGAGAAGACAAGTGAGCTTGCAGCATCTCAGCTCAGCAAGGAGACATTCTGGCATTTGCTTCCACAGGACAGGTAAGCAACAGAATAGAAATAGGAATAGAAATGGAATGGAATAGATGGCCAAATCAAAACAACTGGGCTAATTTACCTTAATGCCGCAATGTGGGGCCCTCCTCTCCTCTTTAGGTCATCTGACTTTGCAACAAGAAAGACACAGATTATTCAGAGATGGAAGCTTTTGCAGAAGAAAATCATACAGGTAGCTCTTGTGTAGTGACCACAATTGGGGCCAACTACTCTGTCATTCAGCAAAGTGGACACTAAGTGGAAAATCAACGTGCTCTCCTTTTCTGCTACTCCCCTATCCTTTGGAATGCTCACCCCAGCACTTTGATAATTAGCAAGAGAATTCATGTTTGCATTTGCATCCATTGAAGAGGAAGTGTTTACAAAAGAGTAAACGGGCCATCATGGGGAATGCACCTCAAAAACAATACAGTGGTGCTGGCAGCCCCCGTGTGTTCCGCAAACAGCCCGTGTATTCCCCATTGCATGCCTGCTTACTCTCTTGTAAAGTAATCCCTTTCTCTCCAAACTCTCCACTTTGCAAGAGAGGAAGATTTTTTTTAAAAAAAACAGGAAACAAGAACTGGCTGTAACGATCACATAACCAAGGGATGTGATGAATGTTGTAATGGGCATCTATTGTAAAGTTATTTTTTTCAGCACTGTCATAACTTCAGTCACCCAACAAGGCAGTCAGTTTAGTGAGTATTTGGGATACCAGTGCCCTAGAATTGGTGTCAGTTTGGAGCACTCACCTGTTTGAACTTGTACAGATCATTACACTTTTCGTGGAAATCTAGGGTCAGGAGTTCCCTCCGCAGCTCCTCCAGGAAGTCCTCGCTGGGGATGAAGCCTGGGATAACACAGTGGGGGAAAGGAGCAGGATCCAGAGTGACTGCCTCTAGAGGAAACACAATCCACACGGCAGCTTTTAGAGAGGGAGAGCATTATGATGATGATGATGATTTGCAATTGTGTATGTTTATGCATGTCAATTATACATGTGTGTGTGTATACATATATATATATATATGTTTATATTATCTTGAGTTTGGTGCACCCTGTCGGCCCAAATATGGGAGAAAGTTCTCCCTTAATTCTTTGTTAGCAATCCAAATTTTGAAAAAAAATATGTTTATATATACGTATGCATGTATATCTGTAATATATATAAAAATACGGGCAGGATGAGAACACCACCAATTGCACTTTGCAACGCATCTGCAAAATATCGGTGGGTTAAAACCAAGCTGCACCCCCTGCCGGTCAATGCCAGCCACGACTGCCCCATGCCTCAGTGAGGACTAGCCCCTTGGAACCCGCAGCGCTTCCTGCCCCCTACCATGCTCCAGCGGCTCCTGGCGGGCCCAAGCCGCGGCCACTTTCTCCTTCAAGGCCGGCTCCTTCAAGGCGGCAGAGAACTCCACGCTGATCTGCCGCTTCACGCGCTTCTTGGCGGCTTTTCCCGCCGGCGGCGGCGGAGACGAAGCTCCCACCCGGGGCGGCCGCCGCTTCGGCCTCCCGTTCATGCTTCCCCCTCGCACGTGTTCCAGCGGAGAACTACGACTCCCGACAGGCCCCGCGGGATGACGCCATGTCGAGAGGCGGGTCTACAGATTGAACGGTCCAATCATCGCGACGGAAGCAGGAAAAGGTTCGGAGCCGCCTGGAGGAGGAGACTTTTTCTCTTTTTTTTAACGAGGTTCTGTAGTGATAGTCTATGGTCACACCAGTGGCATTTAGAACCGCGGAGGGGCGGGGCCTGAGGACAGCCAATGAGCATTCGCAAGCGGCTTCTGAGCACCCAACAGGCCCAGCTCGTCCCTTCGCTCCTATTGGCCAAAACCCTCCACTGCCATTAACGACGCAGGGACGCTTCTTTGACCCCGCCTCTCTACGGCAGTCCGCGCTCGCTGACGGGCGAAGCCGCTCGGCCCCCCTCGGCGGACTCTATGGCTCCCGGAAGTGCGGCCTGCTGGTTCCGGTGCGCCTTTTGGCGGGTGTGAGAGGAGCGCGGCGTGTGGGGACGGCGCCTTGGAGCATCCGCGCGGCCGGGGAATGCTGGTGGCCTTGTGAGCCGGCCCGCTTCCGCCATGTCCGTCGTGCCGCCCAACCGCTCCCAGACCGGCTGGCCCCGCGGGGTCAACCAGTTCGGGAACAAATACATCCAGCAAAGCAAGCCCCTCACCCTCGAGCGGACCATCAACCTGTGAGTGGGCGCCGCAGAAGGGGCGCTCGGCCCGCCCTCGCTTCCTTTCTCGGGGGTTGAGCCCGTGGCGTCAATCGAGGGCCCGGCGTCTTGTGTGAAACCGGAACACGGGTCGAGTCGGGGTCCTGACGGGGCGTAAATAGCCTGGCAGCCGCGCTCGACTCCCTCGTGAGCGAGGGCGGCCTTTTTCTCGCCTGCCTGGATGGGAATTGATCCCTCTGGCGATCCAGGCACGATCCTTTTGAGCCCAACTCGGGATGGTCCTTTGAGGGACCCGCGTCCCTGTCGCTTCCTTGGCCACCCCGTGGGGGGGGGGGCTTTATCCCCGCCACCCAGGCTGAGAGCCTGGCTGTTTCCCGGTGGTCTCCCATCCAGGAAGATGAAACTGCCTTCAGGAGGATCGAAGTTTGTGATCCTGGGATCTCCTGGTGGTCTCCCATCCAAGTTCTTTACAGAGGGATCTTAGTTCATAGAATAGAATAGGAAAGAATAGGAATATAATAATAATAATAATAAGAAGAAGAAGAAGAAGAAGAAGAAGAAGATATAATAATATCTTATATATTATTATTATTAATAATAATATCTTTAATATTTTTCTCGTCTCTCTGCTCCATGAACCGGGCAGAATAGAGATTCCCTTCTCCCGAGTTTGACTTGGGCATGGATATAGCAAGAAGGGGGGTTTTTTTGGGCAAAAGCATGGAAATAGTTTGCCATTCTTCTCCCAGGAGTTTTAGCTTCCAGGTCTGCTCTGTGCTCCCAAACTAGCAGGTGGCCTCTTTAAATAAGGCACGATCCAGTGTATTGTGGAGATGCTCAGTCATCCAGGTCATCTTTGTCTCAAAGGTGCTTTTTTTCAAAAAGGCAACTGTAGAAGCTGCCTTTTTGAGGAACTGAAAAAGTTGCCCTTTGGAAAAGCACCTTTGAGATAACTCATGATTCAGTGTAATATGAGACCACCCACCCACCCCTCTCCCCAAGTGGTTATTTTGATAATCAGGTTAGGGGCTTGTGTGAATGCAACTGTTAACTAGCTGCCCTGGGACTGTCTGGGTGAGGAACAAGACCATGCAAATTGGAATTCTGGTTCTGAGGATGCCTGTTGCTTTTGACTGGGGGGTTTACTCTCTTCTATGCATGATGTAAAAAAAGACGAAGGCTTGTCCACACATGGGCTGCTAATTTCTTTTGCATGTTTGCACCCTGTTCGTTCATTGGGCGCTTGTTTGAGAAGACATTTACCTAATCCATGTGTGTAATTTTTTGTGCTTAGATTCCTGACCAGTGGTGGGATTCAAATAGGTGAACAGCCGGTTCTCTGTGTGGATGCCGCTTCCGGAAGTCCATTCTGGGCCTGGGCAACAAAAAAATTAGCTACCGGTTCTGCCGAAGTGGTGCGAACTGGCTGAATCCCACCACTGCTCCTGACCCAAACCTACAGGCGTGCCTCGTTGTTTTGCATTGATTTATGAGAAGTATGTGTGCACCATAGTGTATTTGGTTTGCATTCATAGTTTGTGCTATAGTTTGACAGTAATTCATACACGAGTGTATGAATTGACTATTAAGGTGAAGCTGAAGATGACGTGAAAATTTTCTTAAGCGCTGAGGCCCAATAATTTTGTTGCAAAGCGGAAGATTAAACACAATAAAAGCATGATCTTTGATTTGTGAGGTTTTGTTTTTTATTAAGTGGTGGAATGGTACAGCTATGATATAGTAGATCAGTTTTTCTCAATTTTAGCAACTTTAAGATGTGTGGATTTCAATTCCTGCTGGCTGGGATATTCTGGGAGTTGAAGTACATGCAACTTAAAGTTGCTAAGTTTGCTAACTTTGAGAAACACTAATATAGATCTTTTGGTGAACAGGCTTTTGAAACTAGCCACGAAACCGATTTTCCTAAATCAGCTGACCCTTATCATTAATAACTTCCAGTTTTAAGAAAGACTTTTTTTAAAAAAACCTGGAGCTCTAATAGTCTTATAACTGAAAGTAAATTTCCTTCTTCAACTTGACACTTCCTAATGTGTCCCTCACAGCTCAATATATATTTTAAGTGGATTGTCAGCTTTAAGGCTTGGGTATTTTATTTCACATTTTTCTCCATCCTCCAGATTAGGGAAAATGTGCTAAAGATGCATTTTGAGATTGGCATAGAGTGGGTAGTGAATTTACGGCTATCCTCATCAGAAATATCCCATCTCCAACTATCAGTTGAATTACATCAATCTCCTAAAAGCCATCAATCTCTTGGGTGTTTTAGAAAAAGACTTTCTGTACTCTCAGGAGCTCATGAGAAGTAAACCTTACGCTGCAGTGGTAGTAAAGGCTCATGATAGTTGACAGAAGCATGCTGATTTTGGTGCAGCTAGAAGGTTACAGCTCTGTGCCTTAGCTGCATAGAAAAGCCATTGTTGCTATGTTACAATTGCAGATCGATTTGTGAAAAAGAGAACTCCTAACTCTACAGCCCTCCATCCCTTGTCTTCATTAAGCTCTGTAATGCCACTTCCTCTTAGTATTTGCTTAGTTATCTCTCTATAACTAAAGCAATATTTGCTTCATTATAAAGATATAACGAAATCATGTTCCTAACTTAGAGCCGGCTAGAAAGGCTAGAAGTATAACTTGATTTGTTTCCTTGCAGTTAGGAAATGTAGAGCTAAAACAAATTCTGGTTTCTGTTCACAACTGAAACTGAGAACTATGCATTACAAGCAGGGAGAAGAAATGTTGGACTTTTGAAGTCTGCCTGATTCCCTTGTGACAAGGAAGTGGAAGGGGGGGGGGGAATCAAAGCTGCCTCTCTGCTATTTTCTCCTTCATATTATCTGCCTAATAATACATTATATAGGGGAGTCAGAAGCTGCCAAAATATCCTGCTTCTGTTGTGAAAGTCCCAATTTTTTTTCTTCAAGTAATTTAATTTCAATACAAGCAATTCATCTTAGATTTAACCAGAATATAGTCATGGAGGTAGATGGATATTTCTACAATATCTTGTTTCGAAAGAGGAGGTGTCATCAATCCAGGAGTATCTCCTTTTTAGAAATATACAGTACTAACGAGGTACAATTTATATTAGGTTCTTGCGAGCTGTGGATAAAATCCTGAGTTTACATGAAATTGTGTGCCTTAAGATGTCCTTCCTTCCTTCCAGGTACCCACTGACAAATTATACCTTTGGGACCAAGGAACCCCTCTACGAGAAGGACAGTTCGGTAGCCGCCCGATTCCAGCGCATGAGGGAAGAATTTGACAAGATTGGGATGAGGCGGACCGTGGAGGGGGTCCTCATTGTGCACGAACATAGATTGCCTCACGTGCTGCTCTTGCAGTTGGGCACAACCTTCTTCAAACTGTAAGTAAAAGGGGTTTTCTTAATCCGAGGCTGCACAGCTATTTGTCAAGGACAATTATCAACATCTTGTGTGGCCAACTGGCATTTCTTCCCGGATTCCAGAAAAAAGCTGCCCCTTGACAAATAGTGGGTTCTCTTAGCGACCGGTGTTCCCTTAATAACTACTGTGTTCATTTAACAACTGGCTGGCTGGGGAATTCTGAGAGTTGGAAGTCCACATATCTTAAAGTTGTCAAGGTTGGGAAACACTGCAGAAAATTTTCATGGAGAGTCCAAGCTCTAGAAGAATTGAAAATAATTGACCTGGGCAGATCATCTGCCTGCCACAATTCTGGGTTCTGTTCTGGATTTAGCTGAAAACTATTAGCCCATATCTAATCCATTTATCTGCTCAGGTACTGATTCAGGATATTGACTGCCTGAACTAGATAAAATGGAAAGTGGGTGCATTTTTAAATCAATGACATTCTCCCCACCATTTTCAGATATCTTAAATGCCAGATGTTCAGTCATTCAGAGAAAAAAAATAGGGCCTAAGAAATGAGGCATGTAGTTATTATGGCTGTAAAGCAGAACAATTATTGTTCAGCCTCCATTTTTTGGAAAACTCTAGGAAAGATATCACTTTAAAATAACGTTAAGTGAAGACTTCTGAGGCATAAAGAGACCTTAATTTGTTGAATTGAAAGAGCTTTAGAGTAGAGCTTTGGAGAGCTTTGTACTTCAAAAGAAGTAAAAAAACTGATTAATTTTAATTTAAGGTTGCATACTAGTTTTACATTTTTGCCTCTGTAAAATGACAATATTTAAAACACATATTTTATGTTTTCAACAGGCCAGGTGGTGAACTTAATCCAGGAGAAGATGAGGTAGAAGGTCTTAAACGTTTAATGACAGAGGTAAGTGCTACATTTATTAAAATTGTTTAAAATAAGACATTCCTCTGCCTCAGA